TCTCTCTGTCTCTCTGTCTCTCTGTCTCTCTCTCTCTCTCTCTCTCTGTCTCTCTCTCTCTCTCTCTCTCTCTCGTTTGTCTTCTCTCTCTATCCCTCTCTCTCCTCTCTTCCTCCAGGGAGAGAGAGATCAGGAATAACTTCCAGAGCCCTAAAAACAAGTAAAAAGCAAATTTCAACTTAGTGCAACCAGAACAATGTGTCTCGAATTTAACAAAATGGCTATGAACTAGTATGAAGAGAGCGGGAATAACTTCCAGAGCCCTGAAAAACAAAATTGAACTTCGTGCAATCAGAACATTCAAAACATTATACCTCATATGTAACTAACTGCAGATTTCACGAGGCCTGTCTTTGCCACTGTGCCACACACACAAGATGAGGAGTCACACAATCAATGCTGGATGCCACTGAACTGTCTGCAATGGAAGCATGCATCTTGGCTTCCGCTCAAGCTTGCAGCCTGATTGCCGCTGATTGGGATGCCACTCATAACGGCAGATCTAATACACAGCAGTATGGGGGGCACCCTGAATGGTGCCTGTGTTTCCTGTTGCCTTATCGTGATATGTCGACAAGTTAACGCTAGATGAAGCATGCCGGTTTCTATTCCCATGCGTTATCTGCCGTCATGAGATGTGCAACAATTTATTGCACTTCTGCAGGGGAAAAAAACACATTCATCTTCTCCCTGCTTCTTGCCGTGCCAACATCGTTGGATTGAGCTGGAGACTCATTCGTCAAATTCCCTCTGGGCTTTCCATCTTCACATGCCAGGTTTCTCCAGAAAGGACAATGTCTGGAGCCCATAGACTGGAATAAAACTCAAGGCAGAAGGCAGTCAGGGCAAGCCTTAGGTGGATTGAATAGGTTTCACCTATCTTTTTTTTTTTTTTTTTTTTTTTCTATCTGATTCATGGTTGGGAGGCTTTTTGACACTAATATTCTAGTGACTTGGTAGAGTTTGAGTAGTGGACCATGAATATTTCTGAAATTCTGAGTCCTTTCTTTTCTTCAATTGTTCTTAGCGGAAGCCAGGTAATGGGCCCGGTAGCTCATTTTTTGTATTCTGATAAGGGACGCTGGGCCTGGTTCCCAGCCATATTCCTCCCCACTACTAGATTGGAGCATCGTCTCAAAAAAAAAAAAAAAAA